GGTCTAGCTGCACTGGTGCAGTAGTCTTCGTCTGCGGGCACCCGTATGTTTGCATAGGTAATTTCACAGGGTATATACATTATTAGACGCATAATATAATATTATTATTATACGCAATATAATAATTATTATATTTATATATTATATATTATTTTGGTAAATGGATTAATCGTATAGTCGTATCCTAAAACAGTATACTCAGAAATACGCTATAATAAAAATTGTATAACAATAATACTATTATTATTTACTATATTATAAGCTGTCGTGTTTTTCTGCCGCCACAGACGATCAGAAGACAGAAATAACTATGTGGCATAATTTTCCTACATTAAATTAACACAATAGCCAACAATAAATTATGAAATACTGAGTCAATAATTATAGTATAGTTATAAATAAATTTATATTATTTATAATTTTTTATAATACATTATAAGGCCTTAACATAATATTGTCTGGGTTTCCCTAAAAGCCGTCGACTGAAAAATGTGCTCCCTACCAACCCACCATCAACCATACTCTATTGGATTAATATACCTAATCTAGATTGGTATAATATAATCAAGCTGTGATCAAATTGATTAATGTGGTGGGTGGGACACACATGAAGTTAGCCCCTCATTGAGAAAATAGTTTCAACTTATAAACGATGAAGTTACACAAACTCTTAAAAAATTAGGTCGCAAATCATTTGGAAAATGTGTTATGAAGTGGAGAGGCTATAACTAAATACGTCATAATTACGTATTCATTCCAGTGTAAATATTATCATTGATTGCAAATACTATAGTACTTGTCAGGCAACCAGACGCTAAATCGTACGCCACGCAATGTTTGGCGATTGGCAAGTAGGTTCCTACGCCAGTATTTTATGTCATTATAAATTATTATAAATACAGGGATTAAAATCGATATTCGATACTGATTTTGAATACCGGTTAAAACCGTTAAAAACCGAAATCGAAACGGAAAAAATGAATACCGGTATCCGAAACCGAAACCGAAACCGAAACCGAAATCGGAAAAAAATCGATACCGGTATCCGAAACCGAAACCGAAATCGAAAAAAGTCAATACCGGTATCCGAAACCGAAACCGAAATCGGAAAAAATCGATACCGGTATCTAAAACCGAAACCGAAATCGGAAAAAATCGATACCGGTATCTAAAACCGAAACCGAAATCGGAAAAAATTGATACCGGTATCCGAAACCGAAACCGAAATCGGAAAAATTTGATACCGGTATCCGAAACCGAAACCGAAATCGGAAAAAAATCAAAACCGGTATCCGAAACCGAAACCGAAACCGGAAAACATTTTTTCGGTTTCAAGCCCTGTCGTATTGTGATTGGATATTACTTTTTTGGTATCATGTAATAACCAAGGTGCAACCGAGTATACCAAGAATTGACTACTGCTCAACTTTTATACCATATTGGTTACCAGTCGTAACCATATAATAACCAAGCCATCGAACGACACTGCACACGGCGTAGCTGTGAATGCGCCTTTATATATTCAACTTTTGACCGTGTGGTTACATTTATGTGCAGATAAAGCCGGGTTCATACTTAATGTAACCACACGGTCAAATGTTGAATATATTCAACTATGCGGTATCGTTTGGTAACTGAGGTAACCGTGATTATATAACACGACACGGTGTAGTGTGAACCCGCCTTTATTCCACGGAGCCCGAGTTGGATCCGTCGCTCTCGAACGCGGGTCGTTTGGCAGTTTACAGCGTGTGCGTTGTCGTGTGCGATTCGTCGTGTGCGATTAGTTGCGCGAGTTCGTTGGAGGTGGACGTCGTCGGCTCCGCCACTTTCCGCCGGTGCTTTGGCCGTCGTCGACACGGCTGCAATACGATTGCGCGCGGTCCTTGTCAGCGGTACCTTTTTAGGCGTACGATTGCGCGTGTTAAATTATTTTTACTTCTAAGCAACGTTGCCAAATGAGTAAGCAATACGAAGAGTATCTGAAAAATAAAACGCCAGAAAATTTGTTTAAGTATTTAGCCATAATTGGAAATAGGTATCAGGGATTTAAAGTTTAAATTATTTTTATTTATATTATTTTATTATAACGATTTTTTTCAATGAATATTTTTTCGATTTTTTTTTTTTGATACCTTTTCGAATATTTAATATCATTTTATTATAACTATTTTTTTTTTAATGAATATTTTTTTTATTTATAGTAATTATTATGTTCCTTTATGAGGTAGACTGAGTGAGAATATAAAGAATCTGTTTTATTTTGTGATACAGATTTAACCAAATGTTATTTATCTATTCGAATATTTGATATTATTTTATTATAACTATTTTTTATTATTTGTATATAATGTGATTTTGTATCGAAATTAATGGTTTTCAATCGTGTATAAATTATTATTGTTTTTTTTTTTTTTTTTAATTTTTTGACCTAAAAAATCGAATTTAGAAGATATCACTGGGCTAGTCGAAAATTTGTTTGTTTTCTGCGTTATTATCAAAAACGATATTTTTTTATAATAATAAATATTTTATATTTAAATAATAATTTGGCAACGTCGCATCCAATTTCACGCGCAATCGTACGCCTAAAAAGGTAAAACGCGCGCAATCGTACTCCACCGGTCGACACCGCCACTCTCCGTCACCGACACTCACCGTCATCGTCACCGCCACTCACCGTCACCATCACTCGCTGCCACGGCGGACGTCGGTCGCGTTTATAAATACGACGAGTAAGGGTCAACGGCCTCTCCGTCCGTCAGCTGTCCACCAACGCGTTCCGGGACAACAACTCGATTCAGTGAGATAAGTCCTATCTTCTTATTTATCGTATATTATATCATATTTTGTGTTATCTTTTTTATTATTCAATTATTATTAGCAGGAAACGTCCTCGTCGATATTAATAATTTCTATTGTATTATTTCTATTATTATTTGCAACGATCAATACAATGTGGTTTAGCAACAATTCACACATGATATTATTATTCTTTTTTATTTATTAATATTATAATAGTGGTGACAACCAGTGGCGTATATAGGGGGAGGCCCCCTAGGCCAGAGCCCATAGTGAAATAGCAGGTTAAATTAAAGCATTTCATGTATATCTACACTGTTTACAGTTTTTCACCATTATTAATTTAGCCACTTATTAAAATTGTTTTTGAGAAATCAACAAGGAAATGATTGTCAGGACTTGATTTCATGACTTTGATGTTAAATTCACAGTTAGATAACATTAAAATATATATATATATATTATATATATAAGTATGAAATTATCAATATTTTTTCAAAAAATAATTAAAAAATTAATTTAACATAATTATAAAATTTAATTGAGCAATTTTTATTTGTATTGTATAATAAGTCATAATTATAACCATCCAGCTTTCTGAAATATGTATAGTTATGGGCACTTATGGCTATGTTAGTCATGCTTGGCTTGAATAGTGATAAATTGCCAAAATTGGTCCATAGTAAAAATAATTTGTATATACGCCGCTGGTGACAACCGTTGTACGGTGCGAGTTGTCGGGTCAACTGTTCGCAAGAGCTCGACAGCGTAGACAAACACAATTTAACTGATAGTGTTGGCTATTATTTGCGCACTCCCACTTGTTTTATAAATTATAAATATAAGCAAAGAAACAATATTATAAAGACACAAATGAGTAATAACTACGTAACTGTGACCTGTTCTATACAACATTAAATACCTACTTAAGCTAAAGATTTTTTCATAATATTATGTTATACTGTTATAGCCGGGGGCCTGGGAATGTTGGAACATAATAGTGAAGTACCTACCCACTTATTATATTCCTCAATATACACTATGGTACAACATTTTTGTATTAATTGATCATTTTTCCAAGTCCCCTGTGCGCCCCCCTAGTTGCGCCAATGGATGGGCCGTGCGGACGTTAAGGGGATTGGAAGCGGCGATTTTCTGTCTTTGTCTAACACACGTGCGACATAGGATTATAGACTTGTTCTATTTCCAACGTACCGATTAATCTAGTGAAGCGATAGGAATTCTGTAAACAGATTTGAATTTGTCGTCAAGTCTACTTGAGATCGACTTCCCCACATTGTTGATATTATCCCCCAAAAATCATAAAAATGATATATTAAAAAGAGTAATTAAAAGTTTTAATCAAAATATCAAAAATGTGGGAAAGTCGATCTCAAGTAGACTTGGCGACAAATTCAAATCTGTTTTCAAAATTCTTATCGCTTTACTAGATTAATCGGTACGTTGGAAATAGAACACGTCTATAATCCTATGTTGCACGTGTGTTAGACAAAGACAGAAAATCGCCGCTTCCAATCCCCTTAAAATGTATATAAATATTATATTATATACGCTATCATACGATAAACATTCCGAGTGCAATGTGAAAACGTAATTATAAGTCTAATTTTACGCACTGTTCAGAAAAACGTTTGTTAAAATATCACATAATATTATTACGACTGCGTCTGTTTTCAACAACATCTCAGCTGCAATCGACGGTTATATTTAATATGATGTTGAACCTCGTACGACATAGCTATATATATAATATATAATGATTATTACGCACGCCAGGGTTTTTTTTAATGATTTTTTTCTGACTGCACAAACTTGTTTCCACTCTTGGGTTATACAGTGAGTTCCGCTTAATGTGATCACTGGTTTATAGAATCAACCGTTTATTAGAATCAAAAATGAAAATCCCAAACCAAATTGTATGCTACTAATGTTAAATTGACCTTTTATTAGAATCACTAAGTACCGGATAATTGAATCACTTTTATGAACAATCTTATCGTTTTTATGGTATCTCAAACTGATTAATTTATAAAAACCATTTTATTTTTGAATTTATCAGTATTACTGTATATCGTTGTACATTATGTCAATCAATTATCTTTGTACGTCGCGGCGTCGTGTACTTGTGTCATTTAGTTTATTCGGTTTATTGTTCATGATCAGACGTATTTTTTGAAATGTCGACCAAACGAAATGATTTAACTATAAAAGAAAAAAAATATATACTCGTTCGTTTCGATAAATTGGATAAATGTTCTCAAAGAGAAGCCGCATTAGCTCTGAAAATTCCTCAACCAACGTTAAACAAAATTTTAAAAAATCGTAAGGAAATTGTTGAACATGAAGAACAAAATTTGCCTCTTTCTCGAAAACGAAAACGAAATGGACAAAATATTGATGTAGAAGAATCTTTATTACGATGGTTTCAGCAAGCTAGAAATTTAAATGTACCGGTCAGTAATTCTATTTTACAAGAAAAATCTATAAATTTAGCTTTGCAATTAGGTGTAGATAATTTTAGTCCAACGATCGGGTGGTTGACTCGTTGGAAAAACAGAAACAATATTGTTTTTAAAAAAACATGTGGAGAAAAAAAAGATGCAAATTTTGAAGCTGCAGAAAATTACTTAAAGAACTTTACTGCATCTTCTAATTATGCACCTAATGACATATATAATTCAGACGAAACTGGTTTGTATTATCGAGCTCTACCAGATTCTACTTTTGATTTTAAAGGGAATACGGTTAATGGATGTAAAAAACAAATGCAAAGACTTACGATTCTGCTGGTTTGCAACATGACAGGTACGGATAAAAGACGTCCTTTAATTATTGGTAAAAGTAAAAATCCACGCTGTTTTCGAGGCGTTAAAACATTGCCCGTCGATTATTACGCTAATTCAAACGCTTGGATGACTAGTCTAATTTTTACCGAATTTTTACGAAAATGGGACAGAGAAATAAAAAAACCAAGACGTATTTTACTACTTCTTGATAACTGTACAGCACATCCGAATTTACAAAATTTAGAAAACATAGATTTGAAATTTTTACCACCAAACACTACGTCACTTATTCAGCCTCTTGATCAGGGAATCATAAAAACAATGAAAACTTACTATAGAAAAGCAATGCGGAATTTTATTGTTGAAACTATAGATGTATCTGAAATTCCTGCATCACAAATAGCTCGTAAAATAACTGTGCTAGAAGCTATACATATGTTGGTTAATGCTTGGGATAAGGTGACTTCCAAATGCATTATTAATTGTTTTCGAAAAGCTGGGTTTTCACAAATTGAGTCAGACGAAGAAAAACCACAGGAGGTCGAATTCATAGATACAAACTTTGAAAATTGGATTTTAATTGATCAAGATTTACCTACTTTTGGAGCATTGTCTGATAAAGACATAACTGATTTGCAAAAAAAAAAGAAGAAATCAATATTGACGATGATGAAGATGACGATAACGAAGTGACCAACGAGGATATCACTCAAAAAGATACCAGAATCATTTTGGAAAAGCTAAAAGGAGCTGTTCAAAAATACGGCGATAACGATACTTTTCAATTGTTTCAAAAACTACAGGTATGTACAATGTATATTGTAAACAAATAAATAAAAAACATGAATATGATTTTTAATTTAATTTAATTTAATTTAATTTCAGGCTAATATGAATACTAAATTGGTAGATTGTCAAGTTCAATCAAAAATAGATGGCTTTTTTAATTTATTTTAAATGCATTTATTTAATTTTATTTTTATATACATACCTATTAATATTATTTTATTTTATTCAAAATTGTATTTTATTTCAAGCATAAATGTAGAATCATTAAATAAAAAAAAATGTAAAAATCAATAATTTTATTAAAAAATTATAATTATGTATCTAATTATGAAATTATTAAATATCTAATTATAAATAAATAATTGTATTAAAAGATTGAATTATAAAAAAAATTGTTGTAAATGCTTTTTAGAATCAACCGGTTAATAGAATCAAAATGACCTGCACCAAAGTGATCACATTAAGCGGAACTCACTGTAGTAGGGAATTTGTCTATGCAGATGTTACGTCCCAACTGAGGTCGATATATACATCAACGCAGGAATGAAATACTGGTGTACTTGGTTATGATGAGTGTTTATTTAAGTACAAAATTACAATGTATTTAAGCTATGGTGGAGATTGTGAGCGGTGTTACGACCTGACTCTGAACTGATACTAAGACCGTGAGTGGTTTTACGACCTACCTCCAAATGTCTTGAGTATCCCTAACCGTCTGCCGAGCTCTTGTCCCGGGCTGGTATTTAAATGATTGAGTCAAATTCGGTCATGAGACTGCGTCCGGGTTCTCGTACTTGGTATGCTGGTCGACTCGTATCCTTCTTATGAGTGTTTGACTTTCCTAGAGATATACTTTTACAGTGTCCCTAGCGTGTTATAATATACTAATTGCCTTATTAATAATTATATCGTCGAATACTATTAGAAACGTGCGCTACGTCGTACATTGTTATTACCTAATTACTAAATACGTAGGTACGTAACACAGACCAAACCCTACGGACTATTATCCTTTGAACTATCAGGAATGGCTCCAGAGGGGCCCTAGCCCCCCTCCTCCCAAAGCTATATTTCTAAAATATTTTATTATGTTAAAAACAAAATTACAAAAAAAAAATCATCAACATTATCTGAAAATTATGACTTCGTCGCCCCCTAATCATGTCTCTGGAGTTGTCCCTGTGAACTGTGCCGGCTATACCTAGTACCTACTAACCTACTGTCTACTGTACTATCTACATTTTTTACTTTCATAAGACTGCATATAGGTACTCAGAAACAATATGTAAAAACATAAAAATCCCGACTCTCTCATGATATACCAAATAAATCATTTTATGCTAACGCACTAGCTGTTTTTATTGAAAATTTGTAAATAATAATTTAAATTTAGTTTGTAAATATATAAGTAATATTTACTTGGAATAGGTAATTTGTAATAATGATAGTTTATAAAAATAAAAACAATCAATTGACTAGGTAGGTAGGTACCTAACTATCCATATATTCTATACTATTATATAAAATGGTAAGGGTTTTCTTGGACCACGCTAACCGAGAAAACTACTGAACCGATTTGGCTGAAATGTTTTACTGTTATACTTGACCGTCTGCTGGAGGTCATAGTACCACCTTTGTTTAGAAAAATCCACCAGAAAAGTAGGAAATATGGATGTCAAAAATACAACAGTAGCGCAAACTGTCCAGAAAAAAATAAACTAATTAATAAAAAATGAAAAATAAAGTTTTGTGTTGCAGATTAAAATAATAATAGTGTATAATAATATATTGGTTGCTATGTTATATATACCATTATATAAAATTGGAAGGGTTTTCTTCGACCGCGCTAGCCCGCGAGAAAACTACTGAACCGACTTGGCTGATTCTTTTTTTGTTGTGTTCGTAATTGTCAGGACAAAGTTCTTATGAAAGAAAATTGTAGGAAAATCCACCAGAAAAATAGGAAATAGGTTGATGTCAAAAATACAAGAGTGGCGTGATCTGCCCAGAAAAAAATAAACTAAATAATAAAAAAATTAGTTTATTGTTGCAGATTAAAATAATAATCGTGTATTATATATTGGTTGCTATTGGTTAACCGGGAATGTTTGTTGATTCGTATTATTATTGTTCGTCAATATATGTATATAGGTATGTATAAATAAATGTTTGTGTGTAAATTAGACCTCTGGGAAGAAGATAGATTAATTTAAAAAGGACAAATTTGGTTTTCTTTTTCATCGGAAGGTTAGGATTTTGTATTAATTGATTATATTAATCCACTGTAGGTGAAATTAAGTAAAAACGACAAACTTGGTATAACTTTGATACTCAAGAGCTAAATCATACACTTACGTACCAACAGCACGGTGTCCGCGATCTACCACAGGTAGATTGCCTACCTGATAAGTGATAATATACTGCTGCGAATCAGAATTTTTATTTTTGGCAACGGAAAAGTTAAGATAAGTTTTGAACATCATACACCGAATATTAAATAACAAATTTAACAAAGTTTGAGTCATATAGAGTTTGTATATTTAACGGGCAACGATGTGCACGGGATAAACTAATTTTAATAAAAATATATTTATCATCAATAGTGCTAGAAACATTTCAATACGTTTTCATTAACCATTTTTATATTTACTTGCCGATCACATCAATTTGAATAAAAAATTATACATCTCATCGTCCGGAGGCCAAATAAACAGCCAATCACGGGCGAAGCTGTGACGGGTAGGCTAGTCGTATATATAATTAAATGAGAAAATAGGGCATTTGATGTCAAAATGGAGCTAGTATTCTAGAAAAGCCCCAGGAAAGCGTTTGGTCAAAAAATCATAGATTATCTAGATCCAAAAAACTACAACTCAATGTCAGTAAATATAAAAAGAAACATATTCTATACAGAATGGAATCTTATAACTCTATAGAAATGAAAAAAAATTCATATTTGGTTATTTCCAATAGGCAATTGAATAAATAATAAGTAATAAATATATTTAACATTAGTTATCATTTTATATAGCACTCTACCACCACCACAAGCATGTGCTTAAAGGTGGTAGATATTTTTTTTGTTTTTAAAAAAAAAAAAATTTAAAAAAAAAAACAGTATAATAAGGAATAATATAAACAATTTTTAATTTCAATAGAAACATTTTTTTTTATTATTTTGAAGTTTACTCAATTATTGTTCTATAATATACAATAAAATATATCACCCTGAAATTCTTTCTTTGCACTGCACAGAGTAACAATTTACATTGCACAATTACTTTTCTCACCCTGCACAAAATGTGTCTCACTGCACACTAAAAAAAACCCATAAGTTTATTGGTACTGTGAATTTTTAATTTAAATTTCGGCGTACAAGTGTATTAGTAGACGGAACCGGCAGAGCGTTTTCATCGATGTTTATAATAATTAATAATGCTCGCCGATGACTTAATCCTTATTGATGTGGGTGTCGGGAGATTTAAATAATTGGCCAAGTACACATTCGAAGTGAGGGGGGTTCGGTGCTAAAAGAGAGAATCAATAGAAGTGTCAGACGAGAAAATGGTATATTATATCGGCCGTATATCATTTGCACATCGTCTGTTTACCTATGCGAAAATATCGTACATCGTTTGCGCATCAAAATTCTGAACAATAGAAAGGTAGGTAGGTATAATAATATAATTATTAATTGTACACACATATAAATCATATAATATTATATAGATAATGAATAATATATACACAGGCACAAGTTTTTGATCAATAAGCATTTAAAGTTCAAATGTTGAAAAAATTTATCAAAAGCTCAAAAATTTGCAAATTATTTTGTAGTAAAAAATTTGCCACTCAGTTCAATTAGGCACATTACATGGTCATAGTTATAGTAAAAAATATACATATAACATATAGGTAGTTTGAGTAAAAATGAATTCAACTAAATTGTGTTCAGTTCAATTAGGAATATTTCAGTCATAGTTATAAGTTATAATACAAATATACATATAGTTTGAGAAAAAATTATTTAAAAATAAATTGTATTCAATTAAATTAGGCATATTACAGTTATAGTACAAATGGTATACGGAAAAAAAAAAACCAAAGTGATAATATAATCAAATTTTTTTGAAACAAAAGATTGAGTTATCTTAGTTGTAGTTCTCAGAATAGCCGGACAATTAAGTGAACTTTTTTTTGTACATCTCCATGTATAATATTGTATTCCAGCATATTTTAAAGTATACATAAGACCTTTGTGACAAATCTTATCTGCGCCCTTATTTGATTTAATAATTTCAATAATGTCCATATTTTACACTATTAAATCCAGAACTTAAAAAAAAAAAAACACTTTGCAAGACAAGAACACAATACAGTAAACTGTAAACTAGTAAAGTCAAATTCAGCACAATGATCAATAGTGTATTTTTATATGATCTTCATTTAGATTCCCCTATTTCAACTATAAATCTTGACAGATTGACAGATTAACTTGTCAAACTTATCTGATTAGGTATATAGTTGAGTTAATTTGATTTTTGAAACCAATATAGTATATGTACAGACTACAGGAAATTTCTCAAACTAAAATGTATGTAATAGCAAATTAAACAAATATTTTTATATACATAGTGATCATAACTTATATTCTATCAATCATTTACTTATGCTCATTTGTATACATTTTTCTCAATAAAAATATAATTATAATTAATTGTATAATATTTGAATGTATATTTAATCAACACATCATTTTTATAATATTGATAACACAGCATAAGGATTGTATATTATATTTTGTGATGATGCTAATTCTCTGATTTTATTATCACTTTGGTTTTTTTTTCCGTTGGTTTTTTTTCTTTTGGTTTTTTTCCCGGAATTCAGTACAAATATACATA